TGTTGTTTGTTTGTTTGTTTGTGGGTTTTTTTGTTTGTTTGTTTTTCTAGTTCTGTGAAGAATGATGGTGGTATTTTGATGGTGATTGCACTGAATTTGTAGATTGCTTTTGGCAGTGTGGTCATTTTCACAATATTGATTCTACCCATCCATGATCATAGAATGTGTTTCCATTTGTTTGTGTCATCTGTGATTTCTTTCAGCAGTGCTTTGTACTTTTCCTGGTAGAATTCATTTGACTCCTTTGTTAGGTATATTCCTAAGTATTTCTTTTTCAGCTATTGTAAAAGGGGTTGAGTTCTTGATTTGATTCTTCAGTTGGTTGCTGTTGGTGTATAGAAGAGCTATGGATTTGTGTACATTAATCTTGTATCCAGAAACTGTGCTGAATTCTTTTACCAGTTCTAGTGTTTTCAAGGTAAATGATCGTAAGGTCAGCAAACAGGGACAGTTTGACTTCCTCTCTACTGATTTGGATGTCCTTTATTTCTTTCTCTTGGTCTCGTTGCTCTGGCTAGGACTTCCAGTACTACGTTGAAGAGAAGTGGTGAGAGTCGTCATCCTTGTCTTGTTCCACTTCTCAGAGGGAATGCTTTCAACTTTTCCCCATTTAGTATTATGTTGCCTGTGGGTTTCTCATAGAAGGCTTTTATTACATTAAGGTATGTCCTTTGCATGCCGATTTTGCTGAAGGTTTTAATCATAAAGTGATGCTGGATTTTGTCCAATGCTTTTTCTGCATTTATTGAGACGATCATGTGATTTTTGTTTTTAATTCTATTTACGTGGTATATGATATTTATTGGCTTGCATTTGTTAAACCTTCCCTGCATCCCTGGTATGAAACCCACTTGATCATGGTGCATTTTCTTTTTGTAATGTTGTTGGATTTGGTTAGCTAATATTTTGTCAAGGGTTTCAAATTTTTAGTACAGAAGAGGCCTCACTATTCTGCCCAAGCTGGCCTTGAACTCCTGACCTCAAGCAATCCTCTGACTTGGCTTTCCAAATTGTTGGGATTACAGATATGAGCCACCACACCTGGCCTAAATTGTTTTCTTGCATTGAGGTTTGTCAAAATTTTTCTTTATTTTACAGTTAAATAACAAAATGGAGGACTTTCATTAATATGCTTTATTTAAGTAAAATCTTTATGTATTCAACCTATCATTAAGATTTTTTAGTATTCTGAGTATTTCAAGTGAATATTTCCCATACATTTTATTTTTATTTTATTTATTTGTTTATTTATTTTTTGAGATAGAGTCTCACTCTGTTACCCAGGCTGGAGTACAGTAGTGCGATCTCAGCTCACTGCAACCTCTGCCTCCCAGGTTCAAGCAATTCTCCTGCCTCAGCTTCCCGAGTAGCTGTGATCACAGCCGTGTGCCACCACACCTGGCTAATTTTTGTATTTTTATTAGAAATGGGTTTTTGCCATATTGGCCAGGCTGGTCTCAAACTGCTGACCTCAAATGATCCACCCTCTTTGGCCTTCCAAAGTATTGGGATTACAGGCATGAGCCACTGCGTCCGGCCTCCCATGTGTTTTACTTATTTAAGTAAGTATTAATTTGCTTATCAAAATGTATTCATTCAACTCAAAAATTTAAAAAATACATATATTAAAAAGAAGTTGGCCAAGAGTGGAGGCCTTTTAGAAAATATTAGATGAATGTATTAAAATCTAATGCCTGAATAAGAGGCCCCATGTATGGATTTGCTTTGCTATGGCTTTGTGAGCAGAGCAGTGAGACAGACATAGAAATAACCAATTTGTTTGCATGTACTGAACACGGAACATATGGCAGAAATTCCCTCAATGGGGAAAAATAAGTAGCATCAGTTTTACATTTTTCGTTTGTTTTGTCCTCCATAAAATAATTACAGTGCAAACTTTACAAGGAAACTGCTGAGTATATTCCATTGCTGATTAACAGATGTCAGCTACGTTATAAACCTTTAAGTGCATTATTTGTCAAAGGTCATTTAATTGTTATTTAGAGCATTTTTAAATCATATATTATTTTAACATATATGTGGTGTGTATAGAAGCTGAAAGATTTAGTATACACCTCCTCATCAAATAACCTAGTTTAACATAAAACATATGTTGTTTTGATAGGCAATCCATGTTTATTTCACTATCTTTTTCTGAGATGAATACATTCAAAATGTATTGATCTTCACTAGACTAGTTTTTATAAAATATATCTCTGAGTATCTCAGCATGTCATAACAAAATCAATATAGTCTTCTGTTTCAAAAATGTAAATCTTTTTATGTAGGTTTTTTAAATTATTGGGAGTCCAAAATACTTTTGGTGTTTTAAAAAAATAGTTAATTCTTACTAATATGTATCTACTTATTATTAGAGAATGAACACTTTCCTTTGAAATTTGAAGTTCCAGAGCATTTTCCAAATAGAAAAAATTTCCAATTTAGCAAGTCTGTGTTGCATTGGATGGAGATGGGAGTTGCAGTTAGAAGCAGCAGCTGCTGAATCTTCCACTTGTATTCCTGGTACTTCTTTGTAAATTTGCTCCACATATGTTACCTTCTCTACTCCACCATTTTATTTTCCCACCAGACAGACTTATAAGATTTATTTGAACTCAGGATATTGCAGAAAGATGACTTCATGACCTGATGTTTTTGTGGCTTGGTCAAGTGTGTATCTAAGATGGCTAAAACAAATCAGCATTTTTATCAAACTCATTTTTGTGACACTCACTATTAAGAAAGATAAGAAAACTATTCCATATTATACAGTTGGATCTTTCTATTTGATATGTTTCAGGCATTATACTTTAATTTGGAGAGATATAAAAATATATCTTATTATTTCTGGAATGTTATAACAAAATACCATAAATTTGATGGTTTTTTAAAATTTTAATTTGTTAATGCTTATTTTCAGATTCGAAGGATACACATGGAGGTTTATTAGAAAGATAAGTTGCATGATGTTGAGGTTTGGAGTATAGATTAATCTGTCCGCCAGATGGTGAGCATAGTTCCCAATAGGTAGATTTTTAATGCTTGTCCCCCTCCTGCTCTTCCTGCTCTTGTACTTCCTGGTGTATATTGTTCTTACTTTTATGTCCACATGTACCCAGTGTTTAGCTACTACTTATAAAAGAGAACATGTGGTATTTGGTTTTCTGTTCTGAATTAGTTCTCTTAGGATAATGGCCTCCAGCAGCATCCATGTTGCTGCAGAGGACAAGATTTTGTTCTTTTTTATGGCTGCATAATATTCCATGGTATATATGTACCACATTTTCTTTATGCAATCCCTTGGTGGCTTTTAAATAACAGAAATTTATTTCATATAGTTCTAGAGGCTGGTAAGTCCAAGATCAAGTCACTGGCACATTCTGTGTCTGGTGAGGGACTGCTTTCTGGTTCATAGAGTTTTCTCCCTGTGTCCTCAGATGGTGGAGGAAACAAAGAAAGTCTCTGGCATTCCTTTTAAAAGGATAATAATTCCATTAATGCTGGTTCTGCCTCATGATTTAATTAACTTCCAAAAGACCAATTTCCTAATATCATGGCAATAACCCAACTCTTAGGGTCTGAATGTCTGTCTCCACCCCACGTTTATAAGTTAAAACCTAATTCCCAATGTGATAGTATTAAGAGTTTGAGCTTTTGGGAGGTGATTAGGTCATGAGGCTAGGGTCTTCATAAATGGAATTGGTGCCCTTATAAAAGAGATCCCAGAGAACTTTCTTGCTGTCTTTCACCATGTGAGGACACAGCAAGAAGTCAACCATCTATGAACTAGGAAGTAGGCTCTCACCAGAACCCAGCCATTCTTGCACCCTGATTTTGGACTTTCTGGCCTGCAGAACTGTAAGAAAAAAAATTCCTCTTTATAATCCACCCAGTTTATGATATTCTGTTATAGCAGAGTCTGAACAGACTCAGATACCGGCACATTCGTGATTAGATTTCTACATGTGAATTTTAGGGAGGCACAAAGATTCAGGCCACAGCAGTATAATAATAATAATGCCGTAGGCATGTTGGTTTTCTATTGCTGCATAGATAATTATCACAACACAAACTTAATATCTTGAAATAACACACATTTATTATCTCATGGCCATTCAGGAGTTCAGTAATCGGGGCACAGCTTTGTTGGGTGCCCTGTTTGGGGTTTCACAAGGCTACAGTCAAGGTGTCAGACTACTTCGTCTGGAGGCTTGACTAGGAAAGAATCTGATTTTAAGCTTATTCAAATTTTGTCAGAATTCAGTTATTGGAGGCTGCATGACTGAGAGCCTCTGCTTTTCTGGGCTTTTGGCTGGAGGCAAACTTCCCATTTTAGGCCCTGGTCAGAGTTCCCAGGGCCCGCCCCCACTTCCTTGCCCCAGAGGCTTCCTTAACATGGCTGTTTACTTTATTTCGTCAGCCAGAAGACTCTTTCACTACAGTCTACTGGGATAAAATCTTATATAGGATAATAAAATCATAGAAGTGACATCTCATTTTCTTTACCATATAGTATAACCAAATCAAGTGATTCATTAGAAGCAAGGGACAGGTCTTGCCTGCATCCAAGAGGATGAAATTACACAGAGGGGTAGATAACAGGAGGTGAGAAATTAAAGATCACCTAAGGGTCTTTTCACAATGATATGTAAGAATTGTTATATTCACTTGGTTGGCTAGAGTCGCATATGTTTTTAATATTGTCTTGTCAGTGAAAAGAACTACAGAAACTACAGATTATGAGTCAAAGAATTCCAGAATATGAGCTGTTTTCTGTTAAATTAAACTTGCTATAACTTCTTGTGTGTTTCTATGGTCAGAAGAAGATGAGAATCAAGGGGGATATCTTTCTTAAAAATGCTCATCACTGAAGCACCCTTAGTCTAGGTAGATTTATAGACATACACAGACCATTATATAAATAATGCAGAAAATAGTTCTGCTCAGAAAATTATGAACATCTTGTTATTAGGTTAGTCTTAAAATTCTATTGAACTTACGTTCAATACTGTTGTGGTCAGAGAAATGTTTAAAAGACTTTAAATACTGGTACTTCCCCAGTACTAAAAAAAGTCTGACTGAATACTCTTTCATGTAATTTGGCCTATTTTAAGTTGTCTGCAAACCTGGAAAAAAGAGAAGATAAAAATAACTTTACTGTACATATAGAGAATATTTAAGTCACACTAATTTTACATTTTATAGAAAAATCTCTTCAAACTTGATTTTGTGATTTGCCATAAAGTTGGAGCTATGGTTATGTAAAAATAGCATAACTGAGATAATGCCGATAAATATGCATTACTATTGAAAATAAGGTAAAAATTGTAATAGCCAATTAGTTATTCCAACTACTCTTAATATTTCGTATATTTCCCCTTGAGCTTTTATTTTATGCAAATCCATACTTATTATGCTAGTTACCGGAATTGAATTAATTTATTGATTGCAAATGCACTTGTCAACATAATTAGTGTAATGCACCTCTACATTTACTGCTCGGTTAGACATATAAACAGTGTTCCTTAGAAGTTTAGGTCGACTAGCTTTTGAAGTTCTAAATATAGGAGAAGGTTTTAGCAGTAAAGTGCACTTAGCAAAATCAAACAAAAATCTATGTAATTGCTTTCAGTTGAAAACAGGGATGCTTACCTCTTTACAGATACAAGTGTGAATACATAAAGTGTTAAACTGCTAATGAGCAGTCTCAGAGCAGAGGAGAAGAAAATGAGACATTTTTCTTTGCTATTTGCTCCTGACAGACAGGAATAGTCAAATGCCTGCTCTGCAAATCTGAAAAGGCATTTGGGCATGTGCTTGAAGGTAAATGGGTAGAATAAATAGATGACTGTCATTGCTTCCTTCTATATACTAGGAAAATCACAATGCTTTCAGATAGAAATCATTAAGAAAACATTTCTCCAATTTCAAATAGGACTGTTTGTAAATTACCTTCACAGTGTTATTCAGATGAAAGAGAACAGCTTTCTTAATAGAATCAGATTATGTGTGAAGAAATCTGGTTTCCTCTGTAGACGATAAGATTCCTCATACCTATTTGCCAGAGTATAGCCAGGCTTTAATATTATAGAAAACTCTGAATATGACCCAACGAGGTTAAGGGTATGGGTCTTCCCCCATAGGTCATGGAGGAAACAAGTGAAAATAAATGTGCCATGTTTTTCATTACCTTCTGTATAGTTTTTATGGTCTTGTTTACAGTTTTATTAATCTAATATGTTTTCATGAGCCTTAAAAGTCATGTCAGTGTATGACCTTTTAAAAATGTATTAAAAATACGTTTCGAGAGTGTGTATACCCTGTAAATGTATATCCTGTCAACTCTTTCCCTCGTGGACCTATGCCCTAGCCCTGATCATATCTCTGCTCTGGTTAATTGCAAATATGTAGAACAATATCTAGAGTTGTCTTGCCTACTCACTCAACAAGGTATTTCTAAGACATGAATGACATCAAAAGATGTAGATGATGCCACTACGATGGGTTGAATAAAAATTATGCTGAATTAAAACATCTGTAAGAATATAAGGTTTGAATTTTCAACACCTTTATGTATCCATTGTCAAATGGTAGAAAAGTTTTGGGGATTTTTTTTTTTTTTGCCTTCAATGGGGGATTTTATTTAATATAACAACCAATGGAAGGAACATTTGAGAAGACAGAGTAATAATTAAAATAGGGATATACTTAGTGGAACAGTCAACATTACGACATTTTTTAAAACAAGACATCAGTACATTTTAAAATAACATACAAGTCCTTATTCCCTGTGTCTAAAGAATGAAGATAGTATTTTACTAAACAGGAGAAAGATGATGCCCAAGGTTCCCATTTGTGCTAACTGTGGTCTTTCAACTGTATTCATTCAACAATCGGTGTTTAAAAAATATTTAATGACCTTCTTCTCTATGCAGAATATTTTGTCTGTTTTTCCAGGGAATAGAAAAATGAATAAATTACTATTCTAAACTAAATAAACTCAAAAATTAATATGGAATTAGATTATTATACAAACAACTATTTTATGGAAGAGAATGCATTAAGTGTGAAGCAAATACCCTTTGAGAGCACAAAGGAGGGAGCAAAACTTTGGTCTGTAATTGTCAGGGAAGACTTTGGAAAAACTGAATTTGCTTTTATCCTGGATGGTCATGTTTAATGTTAGAGGAAAGTTAATTTTAGATACATAATGAAATATCAACTTAAGTCTATAAGTAAGAAAGAAAAGGTATAGCCTATCTTTACGCATTTATCCTACATAAGCAGGTTTAAAGATAAGCTACTTCATTTCAAGGCACTGGTTTAAAGGTTGACAGTCAACTGTTATGGAGACTTTTGCTCTAAGTGCAAATAAATCTTTTACTTTACTTTTTTTAAATTTTACTTAAAGAGCTAGTGACACGTGTATCAAAAGATCTTCCCTATATTATATTACCTGCTTAGTGTTGAAGGTTAATGTATCTTAATAAACCCAAATGCTGGGATTTTATAAGGCAATACAATTTTTGAGATATTTCTTCTTTCTTAATTTCCTATGAAATTCAACAGCTTATGGTTCAACAAAAAAGTATGACTATATGTCAAATAGCATTATCTGAATTTTTTTCTCATTTTTAAAAAGGCCATGAACACTACTGTGAATTAATCTGAAGTAAAATCATCTTCCTGTTTTGAGACTTTATGAACATGAATATATAAAAACTAGTATATCTATATATCCTGAGTTGCTGGCACAATCCAAATTTAAGCCTCTAGTTTTGGAGTAATTGTTTTTTTCAGATTTTTATTTTTATTACATGTTTACCAAAACAATGCTTTTTGATAAAATGCTTTGATCTTATTTCTTGTTTTAAATGTATTGCCACTAATTTGGAGTTACAGATTTAGCTCATTTATGAAAAATATCTATCATAAAACCTCATTTGCAGGGCCAATCTTTACTGTCAAACCACTCAGCTAAATCAGATACATTTTCTGTCAGAAAAAGTTTTTTCATTTTTCAATTCAAATAGCTATTTTGAGGAATATTATAAAAATCAATGAGAACTAAAAGTATATCTCGTGAAACTGATCACTAAAAACAATTAAGATAAAGTTCTAATATAATTATTTTTTCCATTTTTAAATTTTAAAAACAGATGACCCATACACCATTTCTCATATAAAGCAGGAAAATGATAAAAGGCATGGTATATCTCTAGTAAAATTATGTACAGGTATTGAATACTGCTGACTGGCTTTGGAGAATGATTAAACAAGAAATATGTTATAAGATAAAATGGTAGAAACAACTATGGTTTGAATGTGTCCCCTGAGTTTCATATGTTTAAAAATTAGTCCTCAAATCCATATGTTGATGGGGTAGACCCCATTATATGACTCATGGCTTTAAAATAAGAGGAGAGACCTAAGGGGAAATGTACCTTTTGCCCTTCCACCCTTCTATCAAAATTTGAGGCAGCAAGAAGGCCCTCACCAGATGTTGAGCAAATTCCAGTGCCAGGCCCTTGGACTTCCCAGTCTCCAGAACCATGAGCTGAATTTCTTTTTTTAAATAAATTATCCAGTCTGGTACTTTGTTATAGCAACAGAAAACAGACTAAGACAAGAATTGAATGTAATTGAATAAATGTTTCATGTTATGGTTTGATACAATGGGTTCTGACAACTTTATTAATGAACACACATTGAATCTGAAAGAACCCATGTGAAAGTTTTTATCCTTGGGGTCTATTTACTGCATCTTATAAAAATTTGGCATTCCCAGAAGGCATTCTGGTTACATTTAAAATAATCGGTATGGTAAATCTGTACTGCTTTAGCTCTTCCAAGTCACTTTTTTCCCAGTCAAGGTACGTCCTAGAGAAGGATATTGACAATAGTGGAAAATAATTGATTATAATTATATAAAGTAGACATTTTTGGCATTCAGTGCTTTCTACTAATTTTCTTTGTTTTAGTCTCCCATGGCTCTCCCTCAAGAGCAAGAAATTCTTTGACAAGAGTCAAGAAGAGAAAAAGAAAAAGTCATTAAAAAAATTGTCGTTATTACCATCACTCCACTTTATCATATATCTGAATTCTGAATTCTGAAATCTATTTGTGAGTCCAAACACCCAATTTCTATGTTATCTAACATCATAATCAGCTTTAACATGTGTATAAGAGGTGAAAACCCAAGGCTCTATGGATTTATGATTAATCATCAAAGAAACCTTTCCTCTGTTTGCTGAGGTTTTTGGTGTCATATTAAGAGCAATGGATTATATTAAGATTTGGGATGGGTAGCCCTATATCTTTTTTTTTTTTTTTTTTTTTTTTTTTTAATGTGGGAAAAGAAACAGTATGAACAAAGACTCATTCTCAGCAGATCAATTTAAGGAAAGAGTATAGTATATATAGAGGATCTGGAAATTAATTTCCTGAAAACTGTCCTGAGCATGCAATCCATGAAAAGCCATCACATACCTTTAGGTACACATACCTCAGTTTGAAAATTATGAATTTATCATACCTGTATATAGCTTAACCTGACCCAATCCAAGACTGTTTATCATGTGATCTCAATCCCTGGAGAAGGATAATCAAAGGATTCCAAAGAGGGCCCCAAAAGGTAAAGTTGGAATTGCAGCAGAGAAGTTTTGAGTAGCATTGAGGAACCTGCCATTCCAGTCTGATGTTCCTCATCCTGCAAGTATTCCTGCTATCAAACAATGAGTGTAAAAGGTCCCCTAGTCCTTTGTAGGTGAAAGTAAGTGCAGCACCATCCTCCCCAAACCAGAAGATGGGTGTTGCTAACTGCCATACCAACAGAGGCAAGCAGATGATATAAATGAATGAAGCAGACAGGATATCATAAGAGAGGTGATGAGAGTTTGATAACAGAGAGGACATGCCTCATCCACAGGTAGAGGCAGCTATTCACCTCCTATCCCACTGTTGCTATATTTTCCACTTTCTACCTGGATTTTCATGTGAAATCGCCTGATATGTAAATGTAGGCAGTTAAGTCAACATTGTTATACAACACATTGCAAAATAAATCTCCAGATTATGTCTGCTCCATGGTTGTTAGCAGTCTCCTCCCAAAGGCAACATGGTTATT